GTTGAGAAGGCCAAGGCCCATCCTGGGCGGTCGTGCCAATTAGAAGAAGAAGAAGGAAAGAATTGAAATCTTTGAGGAAGAATCTTTTTGAAAGAATTTATAGAATGCGTCACTTAAGAGAAATGATACTTGACGAGCTTGGCTTACTCGAATTAGAATGGAAAGAACAGTTGCTAGCGTAAACAAATGCCGCGTTTCAAATGCCGCGTTCACTCACACAACGTCACTTTCAGGTATCCCATTGAAGGATAAAGTTACCTACATATCAAAAACCTAAAAAAAACTTTTGATTTCCTGATGTAATGTTGATGTTTCGAATTAAATATTTAAAATATAATAACTACTATTTGATAACTATTCATTAATTAAGCTATGAAACCAAAAATATAGTTATACATAGAATGCCATAATTATTTATTTCCCAAGTATAATTTTAAAGCTTGAAAAAGAAAAGTGGGTTAAAAAGTTTCCGAAGAATATTTTTTATTAAAAAAAAAAGAAAAAAAGATGTGAAACTAAAATAGTATAAAAAATAAAAGAGTACTGAATGTGCACTATTGTAAAATGAAATAAGTTGCTCACCTAATGAATGCCACTAAATGAAACTAATTCAACATGAACACCCATTTTTTGAGAATAAACAGAAGGAACTTTAGCTTCTCCTTTAGGAACGCAAATTATTAATGTAAGTACAATATATATATATAATGACCGAACTCAAGAGAATGTCGACTTTCACCGGTGAATGTCAACAATCACATAGTCGCTTTGGTGAATGTCCGAAATATTTGTTGCGTCCAATTTGATATTAATTTATTCGTTAGCATTATTATATTAATTCGATATTTTTATATCTGCTGAAGATAGATTAGGGGAAACATTAGTGTTCGGAGTAACGGTTAAATACATACTGGGCACTTGACCTTAAAAAAAACATTGATGCAGAGCATACCGGGCAGGGGCACTTAACTAGATCTAGTATATGGATGGGTGATCGTGTAAAGCTAAGGGTGGTGGCGCTAGTGGTAAAATTGCTCTTTCAAGACTTCCGGGTTACTGCTTCCGATATATTTTTACGCCGCAGATTGAAAAAACGCGCCATCATATTATTGCATCATATCTTTTGCAGTATTTCACATGTACCGAGTTCTTTCTTTCAGCCTTTAAACTTCAGCATTATCATATTAATATTATAATCATTAGAATATTTT